TGTAAATATTAGACGTAGAGACGCATTTCTCCAGTGTTTTCTCCACTTTTGCCTTCTGCAGCTTTTCCGCACTAGCCCCATTAATTTAACAAGTGCATTCAAAAGTCCACAGCGGCTAAACTAAACTGGTCCAAGTCTAGTTTTGGACCAAGAGCCACTTTTGGACCAAGAGCCGCTTTTGGACCAAGAGCCGCTTTTGGATCAAGAGCCACTTTTGGACCAGGAGCCACTTTTGGACCAAGAGCCGCTTTTGGACCAAGAGCCGCTTTTGGACCAAGAGCCACTTTTGGACCAAGAGCCACTTTTGGACCAAGAGCCACTTTTGGACCAAGAGCCGCTTTTGGACCAAGAGCCACTTTTGGACCAGGAGCCACTTTTGGACCAAGAGCCGCTTTTGGACCAAGAGCCGCTTTTGGACCAAGAGCCGCTTTTGGACCAAGAACCGCTTTTGGACCAACAGCCGCTTTTGGACCAAGAGCCGCTTTTGGACCAAGAGCCGCTTTTGGACCAAGAGCCGCTTTTGGACCAAGAACCACTTTTGGACCAAGAGCCACTTTTGGACCAAGAACCACTTTTGGACCAAGAACCACTTTTGGACCAAGAGCCACGTTTGGACCAAGAGTCACTTTTGGACCGAGAACCACTTTTGGGTCAAGAGCCACTTTTGGGCCATCCTGTAAAGAAGACGCCATACAAAAGCATTGGGTAATTCTCTTTCCAGGTACACCCCCACCGAAGCTGGGACCTGCCCAGACTGATAAAAACGTGTGGCTTATATTCAGGTGGAATATTCAAGAGAAAAAGTTGAGTTTTATTTTCCTTAATTTCGCAATATGCTGATAATCGCAATGTTTTTGAAAAGTGGCTAAAATATCGCGACACTTTCAGCACATTTTTCCCAATTCCTTCCTCTGATAAAAACAGGCTCAAAGAGAAGCCTGGGTGTAGTTTAAATTAGGTTAAAACACACATTGGAGATTGTGTGACGAACTTCTTCCACGCTGAGATGTGATGTATAAATAGCAGTTTATAAGTCTGTATCGTTCTCTTGATGCGACTTAAGCTCCTGGCAGGAAGCTTTTCTGATTAAGAGCTGATTGCAAACTCTGTATGAGGTTCCCGGGACATCATCGTCAATTTACTCACCCCACACGGAAGAATAACGACTGACGTAGAGATGTGATTACTCCACACACACCCGGAGCTCCAGCCCCACGGGAGGATGAGCCGAGGCCCAGGATCTGACCTTTATCTGAGCCCGACTGGTATTGAGTACGAGCCAGAACTTAATCCTTCTTTAATTCTACTGTATCGTAAATTGGAAATCTTCTGGTACGAGATGGATAAACACTTCCACATGGTCACTAATGCCTCAGTCCTGGTTCTACAGCCTCAGTCCTGGTTCTACAGCCTCAGTCCTGGATCTATAGTCTTTCTCACTGGGATTTGTTGTTTATTTGTTTCTTGCCGATAAAGGAGGGTCTAAAGACCAGTGGGGGCAGGTCCCGGCTCAAAAGTGTCCAAAATGACGTGCGCTGACATGCTGCAGTACCACCCCGGGCCTGTAGGGGTGGACCCGGAATAAGAATTAACCAATGCTAACATATAGCATCTTCTTACCTCTGGAAAACGTCTTTACAGGATGGTCCAAAAGTTGTCTCTTGGCCCAAAGCTCCGTTCCACATGTGTGTCAATGCTGAGGGAATGTTCTGGACCAGTCTAGTTTAGTCGCTGTGGATTGGCTGGAATGGAGCTCGTGCAGCTGACGCATGCACAGATGTGTTTTTTCACATTTTCCAGCCCCCGCGGCCATTTTGAAACTGCCCATAGACCGCTGTTGTTGTGGCACATTAGTTAGAACGGCGGAGAAAGGCGTGACTACGTCTAACATTTACAGTCTATGCTAAGGACATTGATAATCTTGATAATTTTGGAGACTTTTATTTAGATTTACCATCAGTTTACCATCTGACTGCCACCAAACCCAGAAATGGATTAAGGGGAAGAAGATGGTTGTATATTTACATTTCTGGACAGTGGTCGTTCCGCTATTTTTTCCAGACAAATGTTCTTGTTTAGATAGAATAAGTTTGTGATGCTAAATTGTAAACAAACATTTCTCAAAAATGTTTAAGAAATAAGTGAATAATACTTGGGCTAGTATTTTATTATTTTCAGAAATCTGGTCAAGTCATATGTTTTTGTTCTATTGCAGATCATTTTATTTATTTTAGGCAGAATTTTACTTATTTTCATATATATTTTCTTATTTAAAGCACCCAAAGCCCCCTTTTTCCGAATGTACTGGTCCTGGTTCTGTTTTTTTGTCTGCTTTTTCACTATAGACTAGTTTTCCTCTGTATATTCTCTGGTTATAACACGATTGGCCACAGGTCTTTTCATATCGGGTTTAGTGGTAGTGAAGCCGTCCACGCTCTATGAAAATCTAACTGGAATCGACATGATCCAGAGAAGCCTGACACATCTGTATCTAAAGGCCACAGCTGCTCCCGTACAGCCGCAGACACGTCAGGAAGCCCTGCAGATGTCTGTGTAGTCACGAGCTAAGTCTACGGTGTGTAAGTGTAGGTTAAAGCCCTGTCCCAGTTTGCATTGCTGTGATCGGAGAGTTGTCTTTGGCTGCAATGGGACCAGACCTGCAGTGACAGCCGCTCACCTACAGGGGTCACTCCCACATCTGATGCTCCTATTCAGACTCACACACTACTCATTGGTACATGTAGAGCACTTTGGCACTGGGAGTTAGTAAGAAGGTAAGTAAGTAGGTAGGTGTAAGTGAGTAAGTAGGTAAGTAAGTAGGTAGGTAGGTAAGTAAGAAAGAAGGAAGGTAAGTAGGTGTGTAGGTAGGTAAGTAGGTGTGTAGGTAGGTAAGTAAGTAGGTAAGTAAGTAGGTAATATTACAGGCCAGGCCCTTACTGTCCAGAAGGGGGTGCTGTTTAGGTTTGCCTCCTCCTCTGTGCTCACCTGCACCAGGCCACGCCTCTCATCAGTGGATCTTTTCAGCAGGGACCTGGAGCTGCTCTCTCATGGATCTGTCTCGGTGGACTCTGCCCTAATCTGTCATCATTAAAGGGCCCCTAATCTGTCATCATTAAAGGGCCCCTAATCTGTCATCATTAAAGGGCCCTAATCTGTCATCATTAAAGGGCCCTAATCTGTCATCATTAAAGGGCCATAATCTGTCATCATTAAAGGGCCCTAATCTGTCATTAATAAAGGCCCCTAATCTGTCATCATTAAAGGGCCCTAATCTGTCATCATTAAAGGGCCATAATCTGTCATCATTAAAGGGCCCTAATCTGTCATCATTAAAGGGCCATAATCTGTCATCATTAAAGGACCCCTAATCTGTCATCATTAAAGGGCCCTAATCTGTCATCATTAAAGGGCCCTAATCTGTCATCATTAAAGGGCCCCTAATCTGTCATCATTAAAGGGCCCTAATCTGTCATCATTAAAGGACCCTAATCTGTCATCATTAAAGGGCCATAATCTGTCATCATTAAAGGGCCCGATCTGTCATCATTAAAGGGCCCCTAATCTGTCATCATTAAAGGGCCCTAATCTGTCATCATTAAAGGGCCATAATCTGTCATCATTAAAGGGCCCTAATCTGTCATCATTAAAGGGCCATAATCTGTCATCATTAAAGGGCCCCTAATCTGTCATCATTAAAGGGCCCTAATCTGTCATCATTAAAGGGCCCTAATCTGTCATCATTAAAGGGCCCCTAATCTGTCATCATTAAAGGGCCCCTAATCTGTGATCATTAAAGGGCCCCTAATCTGTCATCATTAAAGGGCCCCTAATCTGTCATCATTAAAGGGCCCTAATCTGTCATCATTAAAGGGCCCTAATCTGTCATCATTAAAGGGCCCTAATCAGTCATCATTAAAGGGCCCTAATCTGTCATCATTAAAGGGCCCCTAATCTGTCATCATTAAAGGGCCCTAATCTGTCATCATTAAAGGGCCCTAATCTGTCATCATTAAAGGGCCCCTAATCTGTCATCATTAAAGGGCCCCTAATCTGTGATCATTAAAGGGCCCGTAATCTGTCATCATTAAAGGGCCCCTAATCTGTCATCATTAAAGGGCCCTAATCTGTCATCATTAAAGGGCCCTAATCTGTCATCATTAAAGGGCCCTAATCAGTCATCATTAAAGGGCCCTAATCTGTCATCATTAAAGGGCCCTAATCTGTCATCATTAAAGGGCCCTAATCCGTCATAATTAAGCCCCTAAATATGTTATTGTTTTCATTTCGATGTCCCGCCCTCCACCGTTTCACCAATCAGAAAGTCTGTGATCCGGGCGCCAGAACTCACCGCGTGGAGCTAATCTCATTGGTAAAGTACCATGTGGCGCAGAACTAAAAAGGTCTCGTTATGATTCTCAAATCATTAACAACAAAACAAGGAATAAAACCAGGATTTCTATCTTTGTGAAAAAGGTGTTGGTTATAGATTTGTTGTTGACAAAACTCTTGTCTATTCAGCTGTTATGGTCCCAGCTGGATTCGTCTGCATATCTGGCAACCTGAGTCAGGGAGAGTGGGAGAGGCTGCAGTACCACTCTTTAATGTTGCGTTCTTCCAGCTGTATCTGTAACATGTGTTATAAATCTGTGTGTAGGGAGCAGTAAGTGAAGCCTGTACTCTACTCTCTGTCTCTCTCTGGTCTAATGGGGAACTAAGGCTCCGGCTCTGGCTGACATCTTGGCACTAAACTGTGTGTGAACGATTTCCCCGGCTCCTGTTTAGTTCAATAACCTCCAGCTTCTTCAGAGAGATTCTTTTCTTCTAATAGATGACGCTTTTGTACAGCTCTCAGCTTCCACTATTAGATAGCCTTGGAATAAATGACCGATATCGATGCAGGAGGAGGAAGAGGAGGAGGTGATGGTGGTGGGGCGAGCCTCTCTGGAGGACTGATACCCAAACGCTGTACTGTCACCTTCTCCCGGTCGCCATGGAGACAGATGCTTCCTCTGGCGAGCGAGATGGATCCCGTGGGAGACAGAGGTGTGCGGCCGTTGGACAGGGCTTCACTCTGAGGGTTGGGTTTAATGTGACAGCCCTTGTTCAACCCTAATGTCGCGGGGGAAGAAAAAATCACACCTCCCTCTCACCTTCACCGGGCCCCTTTAAGACCAACCACGCAAGGCATTCTGGGAGGTAATTGCCAGGGAGGAAATGTGGAGCCAGGGTAATACAGGGGTGGGAAGACGAGAGCGGAGTGTGTGATTGTGAGGAAGAGGAGGAGGAGGCTGACAGTTGATGCTTTAAATAAAACGCTGCTCAGATAACATTAGAGGAGGAGTCACGGTCTGTGTTTAGTCCTGACTTGGAGGTGTACGGCGCAGTGCACAGCCGGCAGGAGGGTTTGGGGGTTTTGAAAAGATAATGTGAGAGAGAGAAGTCCAGCTAAGGACATTTGCAGAGAGAAAGAAGCTTCACTGACTGATTATGTCACTGGACTATTTGTATTGATTCATTTCAGATAATCAAGTTTTTCTAACACAGCAGTCTCTCGTCTATTGAAGGGTTACGATCTATAAGTAACGTGTCAAATCTCCCACTGTTGTCGTTTATAGGGATGCACCGATACGATACTGCTTTCTGATATCGGGGTGATACCATAGGCTTGTACTCGGCAATCCTAACCCTAACCCATTTTTAATTTACTTTAGCATAAGGACAAGCGGACAGTATGTCGACCGCATGGCAGTTTTTTACGGTAAATCAGATTGGATCCAAAACAAACACGTATAACACCAGAAACATGATCTAGAAAACTCACATGTAGTATAGCACCGGAGCTAGCACTGGAGCTAGCACCGGAGCTAGCACTGGAGCTAGCACTCGAGCTAGCACTGGAGCTAGCACTGGAGCTAGCACTCGAGCTAGCACTGGAGCACAACAACCAACTCTACAACAAACTGGAGAAGCGAGAAAAGCCAGTGGTAAGAATTACTGAAATGTTTAAATTGTCAAAGAATTTTCTTAATGTTGAAATGAGAAATAAACCATGTAAAATTTCAGGTGTATTAGTTTGAATAATTCCCAGAGATAACACAATGTTAGTATTTGGTACCGGCAAGTATTAAAAAAAGGTACTTGTAGCGGTTTTTAGAAAGAGTGGTGTTGGTGCATCCCTAGTTGTAGGTCTGAGGGCTGCTGCAACTGTCAAAAGCCGTGCGCACAGAGTAAAATACAGCTGCAGAAGACAGAGGGTGCTCAGAACTTATCACTGCGGGGCACAAAAGCCACAAAAAGAAAAGGTATCTGTCCTGTTGTACCACTCTTTAGTAAGTAAGTAAGTAAACTTTATTTATATAGCGCCCTTCACAGACCAGGGTCACAAGGCGCTTCACATAGTATAAAAACAGACATATAAATTAGACATACACATTTTTAAAGGCCAAGACAACCATGTAAAAGAATACAGCAAGACAAACTTACGCAAAAGCCTGAACAAATAAATGGGTTTTAAGTTGACTTTTGAAGCACTCAACAGACTCAATAGAACGCAGAGAGAGCGGGAGAACGTTCCAAAGCTTGGGAGCAACAGGAAGGACCGGTCTCCTCTGGTCCTGAAGCGAGTGCGTGGGACCATCAGGAGGTTCTGATCCACAGACCTCAGAGCCCTGGCTGGGGTGTAAGGCTGGATCAGGTCACTGATGTAAGACGGGGCCTGACCGTGCAAAGCTCTGAAGGTTAAAACCAGAATTTTAAAATGTATCCTGTAGGACACTGGCAGCCAATGGAGAGCTTTCAGGACAGGGGTGATGTGCTCCTCCTGCTGGTGCGGGTCAGGATTCTCGCTGCAGAGTTCTGCACTAACTGCAGGCGATAGTTATGTTCTGGAAGGCATTGGCTCTGTAAAGTGCCATCTTTGACTCAAACAAGTCCAGGTATAGAATGTTTTTGAGGAGTTTTGATGTAGTGTTTAAACCGAATTATAAAATATGTGTTCTTTAGGATTTCCACTTCTGTGCATCTTCTCTGTTGTATATAACTAAAACAAAATAAAAGCGTTCCAGGACGTATTCATATTGAAACAGTTTACAATAACAAATGCTCTGAGAAAACACAAGTATCTACTCTCTCGGTGAAGGTGCCCTCTCAGCAGATCTGTGTTTACCTGCTCAGTGGCGCCCCCTGTGGCTTTGAAGGACGCCCCAAATACAGATCCTAATAAAGTGTATTTTACCCTGAGCCTGATTGTAGTGATGGTAGTACAGGACTGTGGCAATCCCTGACCATCAAGAAGGACCATCAAACTGCTTCATCCAACCACTGAATAATACACTGGACTAGCCTAGCATTAGCCTAGCATTAGCCATGTGTAACCTCTGGTCCATGGTCATTTCCTACATGTACGTCTGGGTCTTTCTACCTTACCACTAGCTCCTACTCCTACAGGTCAATGTAACTGTCCAGTCTTGCGTCAGTGCTAGTCCGCCTCAGCTGGTCCGCCTCAGCTGGTCCGCCTCAGCTGGTCCGCCTCAGCTCTTGTGTGTCTGTATGTCCCTGTGACCCACATAAACATGTGCAGTAGTAATGACGTCGTTCACACAGGGATCAGCGGGGATTTACTCTGATATTTAGACCGGGATTGTTTTGGATTCTCCCTCAGAGGAGGAGGAGGAGGAGGAGGAGAAGCAGGAGAAGGAGGAGGAGGAGGAGGAGGAGGAGGAGGAAGAGGAGGAGGAGGAGGAGGAGAAGGAAGAGGAGGAGGAGGAGAAGGAGAAGCAGGAGAAGGAGAAGCAGGAGAAGGAGGAGGAGGAGGAGGAAGAGGAGGAGGAGGAAGAGGAGGAGGAGGAGAAGGAAGAGGAGGAGGAGAAGCAGGAGAAGGAGGAGGAGGAGGAGGAGGAAGAGGAGGAGGAGAAGCAGGAGAAGCAGGAGAAGGAGGAGGAGGAAGAGGAGGAGGAGGAAGAGGAGGAGGAGGAGAAGGAAGAGGAGGAGGAGGAGAAGGAGAAGCAGGAGAAGGAGAAGCAGGAGAAGGAGAAGCAGGAGAAGGAGGAGGAGGAGGAGGAGAAGGAAGAGGAGGAGGAGAAGCAGGAGAAGGAGGAGGAGGAGGAGGAAGAGGAGGAGGAGAAGCAGGAGAAGCAGGAGAAGGAGGAGGAGGAAGAGAAGGAGGAGGAAGAGGAGGAGGAGGAGAAGGAAGAGGAGGAGGAGAAGCAGGAGAAGGAGGAGGAGGAGGAAGAGAAGCAGGAGGAGGAGGAGAAGCAGGAGAAGGAGAAGGAGGAGGAGAAGGAAGAGGAGGAGGAAGAGGAGGAGGAGGAGAAGCAGGAGAAGGAGGAGGAGGAGGAGGAAGAGGAGGAGGAGGAGGAGGAAGAGGAGGAGGAGAAGCAGGAGAAGGAGGAGGAGGAGGAGGAAGAGGAGGAGGAGAAGCAGGAGAAGCAGGAGAAGGAGGAGGAGGAGGAGAAGGAGGAATAAGAGGAGGAAGAGGAGGAGTCAGATAATGGCACAGGAGCAGAGAGTCTGGCGATTGAAAGATCAAAGAAAGTAATGCAAAATAAACCGCAGTACTTTACGCTGCAGTTAAAGCTGGTGAACCTTTTTTGTTTTTGTTTTGTAAATGAGTGCGTTCACAGTAAAGTATCTGGACTTTAAGTAAGTAATGTTTATTTATGTAGCGCCTTAGACCAGAGTCAAAGCGGTTTACATTTGTGGGCATTAGTCTGTCACTCCACACAGAGATGGGAGGGGCCAGTACAGGAGGCACAGACCTATTGGACATGTTTTTAGTGGTAGGGGAAACCGGAGCACCCGGAGGAAACCTACGCAACATACAAACTCCACTCCGAAAGGCCCTGTTCTGACCGGGATTCGAACCCAGGACCTCCTTGCTGAGAGGCGAGAGTGTTATCCATCCGCCCAAGGTTAAAACTCAAGATAGTGTGGATAAAATCAAAAGTAAAGATTTACTCATATGCAGTATTTTTAGCAACTGAACTCCACAGATGAACATTAACACAACATCAGGAAATAACTTACTTTATTTTGAAAATGAATTATTTTTTTATTATATGGAGCAACTCATAAAAGTAAAGTGTGAATGAAAAAGATACAGGTTCACTTCACAATCTGTTAATCTTTGTTCAACATCGTGGGCAAAGGAAAAAGAAAAAGGAATGTTAGCGATCCTCACAGTAAATCTCTCCTTTGTCGAACGAGGCCATAAAAAAACAATGTCTGGAAGTAAAGGCGTCGGCTTCAAAGAAGATCAAGCAGCACTGATTCAAGAAGAAGAAGTCAGTGGATTCTATAGCCTGATATTTCATATTTTCCAGGTAGAGACGGAGAGATGAGACTGCTGTTGAGAAAGTTTGAGTTTTTTGTGTTGCGTGTGCACCGTTTGTGTTACACTCACCAAAAAAAACCAAAACTTTCTCTAAGATAGATAAACCGTTGTTTGTCCCTTAAAGGCGAGAATTCTGCTGTTATCTTCACACCAAAGAAAAAAACATGATTATGTAAAACCAGGAAGCTCCATTCGTATAGTTAGTCCGTTCTCAGTCTCTGCTTTTGGGTAGTCAATAGGAGTCAGAGCAAGTTGGAACTATAAACTTGCCCATGAGCACTGCTTCTATTGGGCTTCATTGAGTTGCGCAGGTCTGGGCAACTCTAAATAAGGTTCAACGCGCCATATTAGACAACAAAAAAACTAAAAAAATACATCTGTCTGGAGCCGCAAAAAACAAAAAATAACAGCCTTGTATAAGGGCTTCTATGAGGTACACGGGCATCAAGGATGTTTATTAGCTATATTAGGCCTAATACTAATGACAACGTAAAAGGCTACAAATGCATAATAAACATTCATGATTATCAATGTATGTTTCACTGCGTGTCCTGGAGGAGAGATGACGCACCATGTGACACTCTGCTTTAACTGTTAACTTCCATTTTTTTGCTTTCATGCAATTGTTAGCAATACAGTAATACAATTGCTTTTTGGCTCCGAGTTCACCTGCATCACTGTCTGTTTCATATGTCACAGCTGAAGTCTTGCTGGAAGGCTGAATTAATTCCTGGCCCTTTCTTTCATGTTCTTTGCGGAGGATTTGAAGTCTGAAATAGGTGCTCTGATCTTTAAGATGAAATGAAATCCTTCACGTTAATCACGGTGATACGGTGTTTAGCGCCGTCCATTTGCACTTCGTGTTGAAACAAAAACTTCTCATTATGACGCAGACATTAGCAGCCCTTCCTAGTGACTGGATTTTGGTCCATTCTTGTTCTTTAGCTTTGGGATCATGCCACACGCGGTTTGTTTACAACGGCCGCTGCGCGTGGCTGCGTCACCGGGATCTGACGCACTACGTTGACAGAAATGTTGAAAATAGTTTTGACACTGCATTTAAAAAACGTTAAGAATGTAATCCCTCCTACAAAATCCACATTCAAACTAGAATAAAATATAAGCCCTGCCACTCCATTTTCAGACATTTTGAAAAGGCTCCAGGAGCCACTCAGGAGGAAGCACTAAAGGGCCGCAGGTGCGACCCGAGTTAGCGGGCGAGTTAGCATACAAGGCTATGTACAAAAGGCATGTGTTTAGTCCCCTATGTTCCATATTCTCCAGCATAAGCATCTGAGAGGGTATATTTGATTATTGTTTTTTATCACAGAGATGGATTTGTGCTTGAGTCCTGACTAGAACCAGGAGAGTTACCAAACAACATTAGTCCAGTTTCTCAGTCTCTCTCTCTCTTCTGAGGAGCACATGGACCGGATCCTGCTGGGACTCGGAGGAGCACATGGACCGGACTCCTGCTGGGGATTCGGAGGAGCACAGGGACCGGTACTCCTGCTGGGACTCGGAAGGAGCACAGGGACCGGACTCCTGCTGGGAACTGGAGGAGCACAGGATCCGGACTCTGCTGGGGACTCTGGAGGAGCACAGGGGACCGGACTCCTGCTGGGACTCGGAGGAGCACAGGGGACCGGACCTCTGCTGGGACTCGGAGGGCACAGGGACCGGATCTGCTGGACTCGGAGGAGCACAGGGACCGGAACTCCTGCTGGGACTCGGAGGAGCACAGGGACGGACTCCTGTGGGACGCGGAGGAGCACAGGGGACCGGACTCCTGCTGGGACTCGGAGGAGCACAGGGACCGGACTCCTGCTGGGACTCGGAGGAGCACAGGGACCGGACTCCTGTGGACTCGGAAAGGGAGCACCAGGGACCGGATCCTGCTGGACTCGGAGGAGCACAGGGACGGACTCCTGCTGGGATCGGAGGAGCACAGGGACCGAGACTCCTGCTGGGATCGGGGAGCACAGGGACCGGACTCCTGCTGGACTCGGTAGGGAGCTCAGGGATCCGGACTCCTGCTGGGACTCGGAGGAGCAAGGGACCGGACTCCTGCTGGGACCTCGGAGGGCACAGGGATCCCGGACTCCTGATGGAATCGGAGAGGAGCACAGGGACCGGAGCCTGCTGGGACTCGGAGAGGAGCACAGGGACGGACTCTGGCTGGGAGTCGGTTGAGCAACAGGGGACCGGACTCCTGCTGGGATCGGAGGAGCACAGGGAACCGGGACTCCTGCTGGGACTCGGAGGGAGCACAGGGACCGGACTCCTGCTGGGACTCGGAGGAGCAAGGGTACCGGACTCCTGCTGGGACTCGGAGGAGCACAGGGACCGGACTCCTGCTGGGACTCGGTAGGAGCACAGGGAGCCGGACTCCTGCTGGGATACCACCCCCCGGAGGAGCTACAGGGACCGGGGACTCCTGCTGGGACTCGGAGGAGCAAGGGACCGGGACTCCTGCTGGGATCGCGAGGAGCACAGGGACCGGAACCTCCCCCCGGCTGGGCCTCGGAGGAGCCCAGGACCGGACTCCTGTGGGACTCGGAGGAGCACAGGGGACCGGACTCCTGCTGGGTCTCGGAGAGGGGCCAGGGATCGGACTCCTGCTGGGACTCGGAGGAGCACAGGGACCGACTCCTGCTGTGACTCGGAGGGAGCTCAGGGACCGGACTCCTGCTGGGACCGGGGAGGGAGCACAGGACCGGACTCCTGCTGGGACTCCGGAGGAGCACAGGGATCCGGACTCTGCTGGACTCGGAGGAGCACAGGGGATACGGACTCTGTGGGATCGGAGGAGACAGGGACCGGACTCTGTGGGACTCGGAGGAGCACAGGGACCGGACCTCTGCTGGGACTGGAAGGAGCACAGGGTCCGGATCCTGCTGGGACTCGGAGGAGGCACAGGGTCCGGATCCCTGCTGGGACTCCGAAGGGCACAGGGACGGACTCCTGCTGGGTCTCGGAGGAGCACTGGGACCGGACTCTGCAGGGACTCGGAGGAGCACAGGGACGGACTCTGCTGGGACTCGGAGGAGCACTGGGACGGACTCCTGCTGGGACTCGGAGGAGCACAGGGACCGGACCTCCTGCTGGGACTCGGAGGAAGCTCAGGGACCGGACTCCTGCTGGGAAGCGGAGGAGCACAGGGACCGGACTCCTGCTGGGGACTCGGATGGAGCACAGGACCGGACTCCTGCTGGGAATCGGTGGAGCACAGGGAGCCGGACTTCCTGCTGGGACTCGGAGGAGCACAGGGGAGGACTCCTGCTGGACTCGGAGGAGCACAGGGACCGGACTCCTGCTGGGACGCGGAGGAGCACAGGGTCGGACTCCTGCTGGGACTGGAGGAGCACAGGACCGGACTCCTGCTGGGACTCGGAGGGCACAGGGACTCGGGACTCCTGTGGGACTCGGAGGAGCACAGGGACCGGGACTCCTGCTGGGAATCGGAGGGACAGGGACCGGACTCTGCTGGGACTCGGAGGAGCACCAGGGACCGGTCTCCTGCTGGGACTCGGAGGGAGCACAGGGACCGGACTCGCTGCTGGGACTCGGAGGAGCACAGGGACCGGACTCCTGCTGGGACTCGGAGGAGCACAGGGACCGGACTCCTGCTGGGGACTCTGAGGAGCACAGGGGACCGGGATCCTGCTGGGACTCTGAGGAGCACAGGGACCAGGACTCTGTGGGACTCTGAGCAGAGCACAGGGACCGGGACTCCTCGCTGTGACTATGGAGCAACAGGGGGACCGGACTTCCTGCTGTGCCGAAGAGTCAGACCCTAACATGAGGAGGGCAGCTATTCAGATTCATGCTGCTATAATCATAACAGTCTATCCTGAAAATGTGAGACAAGCTTCTTCTTGGCATGCTCAAATCCAGGTTCGAAACAGTTTATCTGTGCCACAACGTGGGATTTTTTTTTATCTCTCACTCGTTTTAATGTACTGTGATTATTTATGATTTTAATACCTGTGTGATGGTTTCTATCATGTGTTTGAACTGGGCGTATACAATTAATACTTTCCATGCTGGTTCAGTGCATTATGACTTTACCTTTGTGGAAGAGACTCCTGGAGGCTCTCTGCGCTCTGGCTCGCACCGCCCACACCTCCTC